TCTATGGAGACATCCGGTTTGTGCAATAAAATATACCTAGGTAAAAAAAAACTGTGCACCTTTTAATCTCTAACTTAAGACTTTTGTAACCTAAGTACCTAACTGACAACTCACTAACCCTAACCCCTACATTTTACCTCTCCAGCTCTTTTCCTCTTGTCTATGCAAAATAAAGATCCATACCCTTGGTATGTTATTCTAATCATGCGTCTCCAAGAGCCTTTATTTGATATCATGTCATCGTAAATGCCTAAAGTCGTCATGTCCAACCTCGATTGCTCACTCCATGTACCGATTGCCTCCTCGACAGTCATACTCTCCATCTTATATTCTTATTAATCGGAGCCGCATTTTCACCTATAAATGTGACCATACCACCGAAATCTTCTGTCTCCCAACTCATCTGTGATATTGCAACTTTCACCACCCCTAAAAGACCTAGTCTGATATATTGTCAGACCTGGTCTGACCACAAGTGCGTTTAAGTTTCATCTTTTCTACAACTTTGCAACTTCCGGTTTCATCTGATGGCCCTACCTTGCCACTCAACACTCCAATTTCTTCTAACAGTTACTTTTAGAAATTTATCTTTCAATTTCAGTATGGCCTTTTGTCCCACAACACCCCTATGACAACCACCCTCTTTAGCTAACTCGTCTTTATGCAACATGTTATGTTAGCATCGACCTCTAACATTTCATAAAGGGAAAAGTCCAAAAAAACCAACAAATTTTCTCATTTTGAATGGTTTAGTTCTAAACTATTTTTTTGAATGAAAAAACCGTTAAACTTTCACATTTTGAATAATCAAGTCCCTGAATTTTTTTTATCGAACTTTTACTAGTCGGTTAATATAACATTTTTGGATTAAAAAGATGCAGATAACCAATTTTTGAAAGTGCGATGATTTATTTATTAAAAAAGACGTTCAGTGACTTCATCAATCAAAAAGAGAAAGTTTAATGGTTTTTCATTCAAAAAAAATAATTCACTGGCTTAATCATTCAAAATGAGAAAGTTTAATGGGTTTTAATTTATGGATTAAACCATTTAAAAAGAAAAAAATTATTGGGATTTTTTAAACTTTTCACTTTCATAAATCATAATGTCTAGATATTTGAAATTACCATATTGGTCTTTAGAGTACCCTCCACCCCTCAACGTTAATTTTCACCCGTTTGCTGGTACGTTTTTCATAGAATTTTATCTGTTTGTTTATTAATAGTAATTATGAGATATTTATAAGATTGATTGTTACTCATATGTATTTTAAAGTGCAATGCTATATGCACCATTTTTATATCAAAATTAGGTCAAATCATGTATTAAGAATGTAAAAAGTAAGTATTAATATTGTCATGTGTGAGTTAGAAATCAATAAGTAGAGATGTATTTAACAATACTAGAAGGGTATCGCACAATAGAGCGAGATAAATCTTCATTTTAATGTTTAGTTTTAATTATTTGTCTCTATCGATATAATTATGTGGTTTTAAGAAAACGATAATGTTTTTATTTTTTAATGAAATATAAATTTAAAAAAAATAAATCAATATTAGTATCAAATTAACTATTTCATAGTTCTTGTTTTTTTTTTTGTAACTTCTCCCATTCAATTTTTTATTATAATTTAATTTGGAATTAATATCAAAGTAATTTATTTTTGATTTAATAAAATATTCTTTTATAAATATAACAATTAAACATTCTGTTAGAACTCAATAATTATCTTAATTATGTTTTAGATTTTTATATTTAAAACGAATGTTTATCCTGTATTTAATTATGTTTATCCGCAGTTAGTTACACGAATTTAAAAATGAAGSTTTAATAARTTGTACTTACACAAAACTACTTGTAATTTTGAATTTTAAGTAATATGCATTAACAAACAGTATTTTATGCATAAAAAATGATTTTTAAGAATTTTTGTTAAATTCTTTATAATATAGTATAGATATATTTTAAATTTAAATGTTATTCTTTTAAACTAATGACGTCATTAAAACGTCAAAAGGTCGTCATCAACCAGTGGACATTAGTTGAGGATCCTCCCATTTTCACCAAAAAGTATTTAAATCATCACCCCCACTCACATTTATGATAATTTTAAGGGTGTTTTTGTAATTTCATGTCTTAAAATAAGAATATATTCAATTTAACATACAATATAAATAAATTTTAAATTACAATAATATTCTTTTTTTTTTTTTAAATAACATTTGACTCAACACATAATTTAAAAAAAGTCTTTTAAGACATAATCAGATATTTTTTATGTCCCTTAATACAGAAGTAACAAAAGAATGTGTACATCACAATCAATGTCATCAATAACTTGTAATGACAGAAGTCAAAAAGTAAATAACGTGGATGTACTTGCTAATACATAAAGTCTAACCATAATTATCTAACCATTCATTATCATCTCATTTTTTAACATCGGAAACTAGCGTTCGAAACTATAACTACGTTATAAATTCCGGTAAACCCCGTCACGTAAGCTCTTTAGCTAGTGAAAACTTGTAACATAAAATTGTTAACTGCAAAAATATTAACCAATTGTAACATTTAGTTGTTTAATTTATAGCGTCTCGTTTAAGCAGACGAAAACAATAGAACAGATATCGAACATAAGACAATAAGAAGAAGCATGAATTATGTATAAAACACCATCATTGTCAACAACAAAAAAAGACAACAAAAAGAGGAATCAAAATTACATGCATTCTTATATGTCTGTTTTCAAAAACCGTCTGTATTCTATCAATCATTATAAAACACATCATTTATTTATTTAGGAGATGTTTAATTGCAGATATTAGACAGTAATTAATGAGATTGAATATAAAATAAACTCTTTGATTCATATAACATAATGGATTCATTCCCCCTTGCCTCTCGTTGTTGCTGGTTGGTTTAACAATATTTTGTCTTCAAAAAAAAGTTTTAGATTTTCGTTTCAGGTTAAATTAGAAGAATGAAAATTTATCTCATTTTCATTATCCGTTAATTTCATTCTATTATCTAAACTAAACAATCAGTTATATATAAATATATATATATATATATATATACACACACACACATATAAGTAAGAGTTCAAACGAGAACACCTTCATTTTATGAGAATGCGAGAACATTCTTTTACTATAGACAATCACATGTGATACTATTATTCTGACACATATGATACACATGTGATACTAAATCAGAGACGCATACGATTTTCGATGCGATCTTGGTTGCGGGTTAAGTTGTCCTTACACCACTAAGCCCCCTCACATGTATTATCACATGTGATAAGGGTGTTGTTGATATAATATTATAATCCATCAATAACATCACTTATGATGCTAAATCATAGACGCAGACAACCTTTGGCATGAGCTAAGTCGTAGATACGTCGTCCGCACATCACAGGTCCCCTCACGCGTATTATCACATGTGATAAGGGTGTTCTTACGTTCTCGTAAAATAAATGTGTTCTCATTTAAACTTTCACTTATATATATATATATATATATATATATATTTATTTATTTATTTATTTTAGGGAGTGGGGTGACAAGACCATCATCATGACTCTTGCCTAACTAAACAACACTCACACTTGTATACATATATATATATATATATATATATATATATATATATATAAACATATATTTAAAAAAATAAAACTTTTCAATTAAAATATAGCTTAAAATATTGTGTCATATTATATTAATAATTATTGATTAAATTTTATAAGGTAACACATTTTTTGTATTTTATATGAAACCACAAAAAGTAAACATTATGCCACCTTTTATGGAGTGGGATAACAACATAATCATGTCCACTTTTCTCTTCGTGTTTTGAAAAAAAAACTCAAAAATCATATTTAAAGTAATATAAAATATGAATTTTTTAATTAAAATACGTACAATAATTATAATAAAAATATATAAGAAATACACTATGATAAAGACCAACTATTTATTTTTTATTTTTATAATAAAACGCTAAAAAATTATAATATATACCAGCATAAGTGCGAAATGTCCTGATTTATAGTTAGATGATGATTCGTTTCGTTTAATTTGTATTTAATAATAATTGATGATACCCGGTTAAGAGATTTAGAACAAAACTTTTGAAGTTGGATTCCATGGCCATTCATCGAGGTTTTAAATTACTGATTTATAATATTTCAGTATCAGATAAATATTTTCACAACTTAAGAATTATAAGTTACTAGAAGAATACTCGTGCAATGCAGCAAGACACATCTCGATTTTAATGTTCTATTTTATTACTTGTTTATGTTGATGTTATAATACGATTTTATGTGTTTTTAAGAAAACAATAATGATTTTATTTTTTAATAAAATATAAATTTGAAAATATCATAAAAATTGAAAAAAGTATATCAATGTTAATATCAAATCAACTATTTAAAAGTTTTTTTTATAATTTCTTTAATTTATTTTTTTATTATAATTTAATTTAAGTTTAATAATGAAATAATTTATTTTTGATTTAATAATATAATTTTTTATAAAGATAATAATTAAACATTTCGTTAGAACTTAATGATTATGTTAATTATATTTTAAATTTTTTATATTTAAAATGATGTTTATCATGTATTTGATTATGTTTATCCGTAGTTAATTACACGAATTCAAACATGAAGCTTTAGTAAGATGTACTTATGCATATCCTACTTGTAATCTTAAATTTTAAATAATATACATCAATAAACAGTATTGTATACATAAAAAAATGTTTTTAACAATTTTAGTCAAATATAGTATAGATATTAAATAATCTTATATGCTTTACAAGAACATGATTGCTTTAGAATGTAACAACATGCCAACTTTGAGAGTGGGATAACAACACAATCATCAATTATGCCTTTTTCTTGATCTCATTGGTTGAAAATTCTCAAGCACTTTTAGCACACCACACATACTAACTATGTGAAAATCACATCCCCAATATTTTCTCTCATGAACCTACTTTTATCATTTGCAATTCTCATTCATTTCTCAACTCATTTTTATGGCAATTGCATCCCTGATAACGTTCAACTTGGTTCCCAAACTACCCTTGTGGTACCTGGGTTGTACATTCTCGGGTTCGTCGGACGAGCGTTCATTCTCGAGACGAGCCAGCCTGTGCCCAACTTTCGGGTTGGTCTCACTGTTGAAGCTGTTGAAGGAAAGTATGTGTGTTCGTTTGACGTTTTTCTTGGAGACTTTAAGGTATGGAGTTCATCCCATTTATCGCGGTTTTTTACCTCAGAGAAATGTGTGCTTGGTCTCACTTGGGACGGAGACTTGCAATTGACGGGTCGTGATGATGAACTCGGGTGGCGAACCGCAACGTACGGGCAAGGTATACAGGTAAAGTTGGTTTTTTTTTCCTCTATGATTTATTAAGATTCATGAACTCGAATGTCTTAATACGTCAATTGTTTGTTTCTCGTATATGCATTGGTGACTTGTAATGTACAAGTGGTTTATGCATGTTTCAGAGGCTGCAATTATCAAACACTGGGAATCTTGTTCTTGTGGATGAACTCAATATGATCAAATGGCAAAGCTTCCATTTTCCCACCAATGTAATGCTTTGGGGTCAAAGACTTGATGTTGGAACAATCCTAACATCCCTCCCTACAAATGATTCAAATTCATATTTTTCGTTCGAAATTCAACGCAAAAAACTCGTACTTTTCTTGAATTCGGGTACATTTAAGTACTCGTATTGGGAATTCAACCCCGAGAAACCCGTTGAAATCTCGTTCGTTCGTTTGGCGTCCAACGGATTACAAATATTCAACGACGAAAGCCACAAGATCGCACAAATTCCCTCGAAAAGACTCCAACTTTTACGGTTTTTAGCCGTCGAGAATACCACCGGGAACCTCGGGTTGTATTATTACTCGACAAAAACGATGAAACTTGAGGCCTCGTTTCGGGCCCTACGGAACAAATGCGACGAACCGAACTTTTGTGCCGCTGATGAGATTTGTACGGTTTCGAACAAGTGTTCGTGTTTGGAAATCAAAGGGTATTCGCGTAATTTTTGTAGGAATTCCAGGGTCGAAATGATGGAGATTCGGGGTGCGGTAAGCATTTTGAGAGACGTAAATAGGAAGATCGTTAACGGGACGAGGGAATCGTGTGCGGATTCGTGCATCGATGATTGTACATGTGTTGGTGCGTTGTTTACAAGTGGGAATAGTGAGTGTTATTTGTACGAGGAGCTTAGGGGCGTGAAGGAAGGCGGTGCCGGTGGCCGCAACGGTGCCGGTGACGGAGGCCGCGGCCTCGGCGATGTGAGTTTCATGGTGAAGGTATTGAAGGGTGGGAAGGGAGGGAAGACATTGAAGAAATGGGTGTTGGTTTTGATTGTTGTTGGTGATGGATTGGTTCTTTTTGTATGTTTGGGTGGAATTGGATTTTATATGTTACGGAGAAGAAAAAAAGAAACAAATAATAATTGAAAGTAATGAAATTGTTATTTTACGATTGAAATAATTTAAACGTTTTAGATTGTGATTATGAATGTTCAGATTGTAGATCTAATTCAAGTATTGAGAATTGATCTCATGGGTCTCACGAAAAACCCTTATTCTCACAATGATTTCAAGTTTATATATGTATGTATGTATAGAAGAAGGTTTACATATTTAAAAAAGTAAGAAAACAATTATGGATGAATCATTTATTTGAATAATGTATTAAATGAAACTTTTAAAACATCGTCCAAAAAAATATATGTGTCATTTGTTTATAGATTATATATAAAAATTCAATTATTTCTATAAAGATTATTTAATAAGATTTTTTATAGTTTTCATTTATTTAAGTATGATTAATTTTTTTAATTTATTATTTATTTATATCAAAATTTATATATATATATATATATATATATACACTAGTTGTATACCAGTGCAATGCAGCGGAACATAAAATTTGAATAAATGTAAGCAAACACACTGATAAACATTTACATTCGAAATTGTTACACACTAATCTTTACTGATTGTCATAGCAAAAAATAGGTTGAAGGGAAATCTTTTTTCTTTTCATTTTGAAACTTTGAATAACATGTCATAAAAGAATTTTTAATCAATTAATTTTGTTGATTCTAATTATTTAATTCCCAATTTTTATACATCAAAGTATTAATTGCTTAGTGTGATCGATCTCTTAATTTTCAATGAATTTTGTAATGTTTTTAGTGTTATTGTTCAGTATGATTCTTTGTTTTATAAAATGTTAAATAACTTACGAAGATGAGTGCCTACCTCAAGAATCCAAAACATCTTAGATTTCACCGTTCAAAAAAACTTAAGCAAAAAAATGTCTTCAAGTATGTGAAAATGAACCAAATCATCGGCAAAACATAAAAATCGTTTTAATAAAACGCTTACCAGTAAGCACTTGCTAGGTGAGCATAAAAATGAATTGTTGATAAACATCTTAAATCATGAAAGCACTTACCGAATAAGAATCATTTCCTGCACTTCATAAGTAAGACTCTCGATCCTTACTGTTAGTGTTCAATACCCTGGTTGTACAATGCAATCCAGTTTTGTACTTGAAAAACTTGAATCAATTAGCTTTATTATTATGCTTTTGAAGTTTCACCTGACAAATGAAGACATCCTTCATAAGAAAGAAAATATCAAAAGCACTGATCAATATTGATGGGGTTAGACAACTTAGGTAAGAAAAATATAGGTAATCTCTTTTCATTTCACATTATAAAATTCAAAGGAAACTGTATCATCAATACCCAATTTAAAAAGGGTAAAATGTATAAAATAGTAATCTATTTTTATAAAAAAAAATTATTATAGCATTGTACTTCCAGTTTTTTTTATTACAACAATGTAACTTCAAACTATTTTTTATTAGAACATTGTACTTTAAAAATTTTACCTATTATAATATTGGGTAACCTTTTGATTTAAATTTACCCATTATATCAGGTTTCCATGCCACCTCATTGTCCACGTAGACTGTCCACATGTACTATAGTGATGTGACTTTCTTATTACAAAATTGTACTTTTAAACTTATTTTATTATAGCATCTACTAGTTCTTATTAAACAATGTACTTTTAATTTTAATATTTATATATTTTACTTGTTATTTAATAAATATATTAAAAAAATTAAAAATTGTTCATT